TTTGTGTCAATAACTGAAAAGAAGACAAATTTTATTGTTGGACCACTATCTTTAAGGTACAGTGGATAGGTATGTGTGCAGTGTTCCTCTATTTCTATAGCTACATATAAGTGTATGCAAGGGTATATACATACACACACATACATATCATGTATATGTTATTTTTCCTTCTTTTATTGATTTATTTTTATCATAATATTATTGTTGTACTGGGGGTACATTGTGACATTTACAAAAGTACTTACAATATATCTTAGTTAATTCACCACTGCCATCATTCTCCTTTATCCCCCTCCCCTACTCTTAGAATAATTTCAAGTCTCATTGTTCCATTTTCATACATGAGAATATAATATTTTCATCACATCCACTCACTATGCTCTTTCCTTTTATCCTTCTCCATCCCACTGGTACCATCTCCTAGACAAGGATCTGTTTTACCTTCCTGTCCTCTGTTTTTGAAAAAAGACAGTTTTGTTTATTTATGATATCTATACAGAGAGTTTCATTTTGACATTTCCATGTATATATGTATTGTGTCTGGTGTTGGTTCATCTTCTCCTCCCAATTTTCTTCCTTTCTACCTTAGTTCTCTTTAAGCCAGGGTCTTGCTACATAGCCTAGGCTGGCCTCAGTCTCATAATCTTCCAGCCTCAGTTTTCTGAGTGCTGGAATTACAGTTGTGTAATACCACACTTAGCTTTTATGTTAGTTTTGATATGCCAATAATTTAAAAGAGGAAGACTGCTCTGTCTGTTAAGAAAAAACACAGGGAATCCCAGACAGTGTTGTCTGAGATGATAAAAATGGATTTAAAATGAAGATGGCCTTGGAGGTAAAAATTTAGAGCTAGGTTTATTCACCTAATTAGAGTAGGCAGTTGTTCATTTAGCCAGTTCAAATGTTAAAAAAAAAAAAATGTAATCCATGGAAACAGAGCATAAGAAGCCCAAGTTAAAGTGTGAAGAATCATGAAATAACAAATTTCAAGATCTGACTGGGGTGAATGGTTTCAGAGAAAGTTAGTTTAGTCTTTAGCACCAGGTGCCGGTGGCTCATGCCTGTCATCCTAGCTACTCAGGAGGCAGAGATCAGTAGGATCACAGTTTGAAGCCAGCTGGGGCAAATAGTTCCATGAGACCCTATCTTAAAAACCCTTCACAAAAATAGGACTAGTGTAGTGGCTCAAGGTGAAGGTCCTGAGTTCAAGCCCCAGTACCAGAAAAAAAAGTCTTTAGTACTTGTATAATATGGCTAGAATGGGGCAGGTTGTTCTTTTTGTACCGGTATAGGGCAGAAAAGATTTCTCACCTATTGCAAGGTTATGGTTGAAGCACCTATAATAAAACACAGACAAACGAGAGAAAACTATGCAAATTTATCGACACTGGGGTTTTGAATTCAGGGCTTCACACTTGCTAAGCAGATGCTCTACCACTGGAACCATGTCCTCAGCCCTTGTTTCTTTTGCTGTTTTTTAGATAGAGTCTCACATTTTAACAAGGCTGACCTGGACTCTGATCCTTCTGTTCATACCTCCCACATAGGTGGGATGACAGGTATGTGCCATCACATCCAGCTTATTGATTGAGATGGAAATCTTGCTAACTTTTTGCCCTGGGTAGCCTTGAACTGTAATCCTCATGATCTCTACTTTCTGAATAGTTGGGATTATAGGTGTGAAACATAGTACCCAACCTATAAACTTATTTAGGGAAATCTTTAGAAATTAAGTCCCTCCCACAATCAGATAAAGTGAATTTTGATGCAGAGTCATGCAGAAGTATGAGTGGAGGACAAAGGATATTATCTAATGGAAATGAACTGGGGGAAGTCAGCAAGCCTGTTTGTTCAGATTCTTTTGTGTCTCCCTGTGTCCCTTTTTTTCTGGGTATAGAGATGACCTGTCTGTCTGTAATGACAGCCTTATGCCCTACTTCAGGGAAAGGTGCCTAATGTTCCTGTTTCAGAAAAGAAGGAGTGAGGGGAATTCTTTTGAGTTTCCATGGATTATTTCAGGAGAAAAGGGGGAGAAGGTCGGTGAGAACATCCCGCCTCTGTGATTTTCTCAAATGTTAAGGTGCCGTATTTTGGGATAGTGTGTCTGACGTACATGCATGCATTAATTTTCTAACTCTGACAACTATAGAGTTTGAGATAATTTATTGATTTTAATCACAAATTTCTGGGTTTGGATTTTCACTCCAACAATTACATCTAAATAACTATGGTATCATGGAAGTCTATGAAAAATGAATCATGAAAGATTGCTGTGTAAAAAACCAAAATGCAGTTGGTCACTGATAGCTCATGCCTGTAATGCTAGCTACTTGAGAAACTGAGATTGGGAGGTTCACAGTTCAAGGCCAGCCTGGGTACCAATAGCTGGGTAAAGTGGCCTGTGCCTGTCATCCCAAGCTATGCAAGAGGCTGAGATTGGGAGGATCATGATTCCAGTCCAGCCAGGGAAAACAATTGGAAACCAGACATCATGGCCTGTGCCTGTCATTCAAGTGATGGTGGGAAACCTAAAATAGGCAGATTGTGGTCTAGGCTGGTCTGGGCAAGAAGTGAGACAATATATCTACTAACAAGATCAACAAGGGCTTGAGGTATGACTCAAGTGCTTCCCTAGCAAGCATGAAGACCTGAGTTCACACCTCGGTACCAGCAAAACAAAACAAAACAAAACAAAACAAAACAAAAAACAGTGCAATGGCATGATAGCCAATGAGTAATTTCTGATTAGGTGGTAGTGGAGCTAAGCCCACCTGAAAGGAAGGAGTCATGTGTGCAAAATTCTGGGGGCAGAAAGGGCAAAGACCCATGTGCCATTGGGTGTGAATGAGAGCTGTAACAGAGTAGGTGAAAGGAGTGGATATGGAAACATGTTCGGTTGGATGAAGCCAAGCTATCCAGATGCTGAGGCAGAGTGACGAAGCGTCACTGAATGTTACCAACTCTCAAAAGTGTTGTTTCTACTACGAACTCACTGTTTGACTTTGGAAGATGATTAAAGTTCTCAGAACCTATAAAATGAAGGTGTTAGATTAATATATGAAAGGCTATTGGCCTATGGTAGCCCTTCCATAAAAATTAATTAATTAATACATCTAGGGTCTCTTCCAGGTTGATAAGCTTGTTTTTTTTCAGTACTAGGGATCAAATCCAGGGCCTTATGTATGCTAGGCAGGCCCTCTACCATTGAGCTACACCCTTAGACGCTGGCTTTTTGAGATAGAATCTCATGTAGCCCAGGCTGGCCTGGAACTGGGGATCCTTTTGCGTCAGCATCCTGAGTACTGGGATTACAAGTGTGCCACCATGCCTGGCTAAATTTGCAAACTTCAACCATCTTCTACCTACATTCTTCCTTGGAAATCAAGTTGTTCTATCCTCTCACTCTTCAGCTGAGGAAGTGGAGGGACATTAGTGGATTTGGTCAAGATTGCAGTGTCCCAGGGGAAGACTCACCAGCAAGTGTGGATGGAATGTTTTTCTACCAGTACGACACCACCAGAGATCATGGAGAATATTGTTAGGGCTGTGTGTGTTTTGGAGGAGGGTGAGGGACAACAAGAGGGGATGATAAGAAATCAACTTAGCTTATAGTCTAAATCAGGAGAGCACAAGACAATGCAAAAGATGACATTTGTAGCTTGAACTTGTTAGGAGGTGTCCAGTGAACAATACTGACCAGCAGTCAGGAGCTCAGAAGTGAGTGTTGAAGGAGATGCCATGAGCTGACGTATAGAATTCATATATAATTAACATTAGCACCTCATGTAAGAATAAGATTTGTTGAGAACTTACCGAGTGCCACAAGCCATGCTGAATGCTATACATACATTTTGTTGAATCCACACAAAACCCTGTGAAGAAGGTTGACATTGTAAAACTGGGAAATAGGAAGGTTAGATGATGTGCTCAGGGTCTCCCATCTGGTCAATGATGGGACTGTGATTTTATTTCAGGTAGTCTGGTTCCAGAGTCTGCACTCTCAGATTTCCTGAAATACAGCTTCCCAAATTAAAGAGGAACAGGAAATTCTTCCTAGGTTCAGGGAATAATGTAAGGAATGTGCAGTGTCCCTCCTCCTCTTTTTTTGGTAATTGCCTACTGGTTCTCCTATAAGAAATATTGCAATTAGGTAGAAACCTTGTCACCTTTTCCCCTTATGTCCTTCCCACCCCCATGTCTCTTTGACATAGTATCTCTTTACTCCAGAATGATACCTTTAAGGGCACAAACCTTTTAGGAATGCCTGGATCCAAGAAAGCACATCAGATCTGTATTCTACCTATTGATTTCCTAGCTTTTAACTTGACCAACCTCTTAACCCTGCTATTAAGAGCCTAGGAGAAAAACCCATGAACACATAAGACCTCCAAAACTTGTAACCTACAGAGGTCCACAATGGAAAATACACAACAACATATGCATAGCTATGTGCATATGGCATTGTATTGTGTGCCTGAATTGGGTGTTCCAGATGTCCTGAAACATGTGGCTTCACTGGGCTTCAGGCCATGGGCCATATGTTATGGGTTTTGCTTTGGAATTGAGAACGAGGAAAATGAGACTACTAACTGAATATTTCATATTATGATGGAAATATTTTAATTTTAGCTGTGATACTGCTAGTGAGGGAAATTTTTAAAGAGTCCTTGTCTTTCATAGATTCATATAAAGATAATTTAGTCTTTGGGAGGAAATGGGGTAGAGAAATAGAAGAAGTGAGATTTAGACTCTGAAGCAGACTCCTCCTGCTCCAATAGCTACATGTATCTTCCCCACTTTTTATGTATGTGAAATTTCCCAGAATAAATTTTTTAAAGGATTGGATCTGATTGGAGGAGAAACCAGAAATGATAGTGGAGCATGACTTCAGAAGTAAGACCCATGCGGAGTTCTATGACAAGCGAGGGACTTTTTATGAAGGTAATCATTGAAAGTGATCTCCATGACACGACAGAGTCAGAAATAAGCAGCCACAGTCTGAAATGTGTCCACATTTACACATTTATTTGGTTTTAGAGAGACAACACAGATAAAATACTTTGATCATACACAAGTTTATATTTGGTGAGAAGAATAGGTTTCCACATTTGTATATTTAATTTTTAATTTTTTTCTGTCTCTAGTAATGGAGTGATGCTGGGGAAATGTTGACATCATTCAGAAACACCAGTTGGGAACAGTTTTTTTTGGGGAGGGACACAGAACTACTAAATATGCAGTGTTTGCATTTAGCACTTGAAAACAGAAGAGCACGTGCAAGATGATTTCCAGTTTGAGGTTCTTTAATCCCTTGTCCTGCTACAATATTTACACCTGTCTTCCTCTGTCCTTATTCTGAGGAGTAGTACCTACTCCAAGGCCCAGCAGAGTCAACACTGGCAATGTTGGCAGTTTGCAACACTCCATAGTTGGTTTCCTTGATTCTCAGAGACCAAGCAGTGTTCACCTTGCATTTTGTGAAATCACACAATTCTCAAAGGAGATTTCTCAAGAGGGGGTTTAGCTGAGGGTAAGTTCTCTATTAGAGCTGATGTGGAGGGCATATAGCTTGAAAAGGGCAGAGAGAGGGGGATGGAGGGAAGGAGGAGAGAAAACAGGAGTAGACGCAAATGTAGTTCTCATAATATCAAAGTTCAATACAGCTACCACACAGAAGAACACATACCAATAATATATTGTACAAGGTTTTACAGCAACACATGTTGATTTGCAACACTGTACAGTTCCGATATAAAGTGCACAACCCCTATCTGAGGTGACAAGTCAGTACTATCAATATAATAAAGGCAACACAGTCACGTGCACAGCTGATTTCCTTTTCTTCCTTCACATCCTGTGACGGTACCTGAAGTTCATACCATTTAGAGATCTCAGATGAACACATATGATACTTTTTTCAAGTATTTTAAATAATAAACACAATATTGCTGTGTAAATAAGAATAGCCATGTCAATTCTGATTAAAGCTAAAACCAAACATTTCTCAGATTTGTAAAGAATGGTACCACATGAAGACCTTTGGCACGGGGACTAATGCTTGGACTAATGTTAAAAGCAATTTCCCTCCCTCCTGTATTTCTTCCCTTGGTCTTTGGTTCCTTCCTTCTCCCCTTCCTTCCTCCCTCTCTTTTGAATGGATTGTAGATCTATCTAAAAGAACATTAATCTACTGAGACCCTTAGGCTCACAGATGCCTCCCTTCTTGGGCTATGATTGGTAGGGATTTCTCTGCTCAGGTCTGAACAAGGTTCCCCACAAATTTGAGGAAGGACCTGGAGGAGGCAGAGGATGGGAGAGAAAACCCATTTGGTACAAATAATTCAGCTGGAATTTTATACATACAAATACAACTTCTCTTCTTAAACTCAAAAGTAGCTTCTGCTACAGGAGGTGTCCCCCAATGGCTAAGTATCCTGGAGTAGAAAGGGATCTATCTATCAGGGCACTGATCCCACCACTATCTTCTCTAAGTAGGACAATAGGTTTGATAAATTAGTGTCTCTGCCTCTGAAATGGAACCTTTGGGCCTGAGGCTCAAGGTAGACAGGCAACTGTGTGCGTATTCTCAGCAGTCGATTTCTAGAAAGAAAAGGGATGCTTGCTCATCACAGGAAGCCTAAAATAGGTAGCTATTCCTTCATGAAATTCTGCAGCATAATGTGTTTTCTTTTCATTGTCATTGGAAATCCATTGTGTAGACAGTTAGAGCCCAAGGCCATGTTCATATCAAGGATTGGTGTGTTTGTATATAACCTGGGAGAAATAAGGTAGGAGCAAATTCATGGAGATTTTGGATGGTTATATTATGGGGAGCCCTCTTTCTTCTGTACCTGTGGTCTTTCTGACTATTGAACTGCCTGTCCATACAGAGGGGGAGAATGTTTTTAAGTTTTTATTTACAGTCTCAATGCAAAAGGCTGTAGTTCTCCTATCAGCAGTTGGAATCTGACTATGGGCCCACACATATCTGTGGGAGCTTTTGTTAAGTCATGTCTCTCCATCAGGCTTTCAGGGGAAGAAAGAAGTTTTTAAAACATTATTTTAAATTCTAATGATCACTGCATATTTGGAACTTGATGAGAGACAGACAAAAGTCTTAGAATATCTCAAATTCTAGGATGAGGAACTCATTTAATGAAATGAAGAAAACCACATGGAATATTAATCCATTATTTGGGATTCAGCAATAGGGAGTCTAGCCAGACAGACTTGTGTGTAGGAATGGGGAGGGAATAGGCAGTCATCCATGAGGTAAATGACTCCTTCCTGGACAGTAGCAATATGGCATTATTGTCAAACTGAGATCTCATCTCCTATGGCTGAGCTTAACATTCTTGGTTCACCACATCTGGGAATGTGCTTCTTTCTTCTTTGTTCAGGCTGATTAGGTTTTATTTTTATTTTCTTCAATTAATCTAAATTACCTAATAAAAGAATACTGTTTGGGAAGATGCCTTAAGAACCAGCCTCAACCTTTTGTTCAAAACAAGTCGAACTGGAAAATATAACAGAGATGCTTACCGTCATTTAGTGTAGGATAAAGCCTGGCTCACAGAGTGGGACTGCTCAGGGCAAAGTGGTGTAAAACACAATGGGAGGGGAATTTTAATTGTCGATCTGATTAATCATTTTTACGAAGTTGCAGTATTCTTTTGTGTTTGTTTTGAAAAGCAACTTCAGAAATGTGATAAGCTATAAGGTGTACTGAAAGAAGGAGTCACACCCTTCATACCCTTTAGGAATTTTCTGGGCCTACATGTTAAAATAACTTTGCTAAGAGTTTTATTGGGCCTCCATCAAAAGAAAGAGAAAATAATCTGGCTTACGTTTTATATTTGCCCCTGCAGTTTGTATAACCCATATAAAATAAAAATCTATATGTTACAAAATAGGATTTCTTTTTAATATATATATATTTTCCTTTTGTAAAATTATATGTGTTTAAATACACTTGAAATGTTGCTATAGGTAAATTAGAAATTTTTTTCTAATACTATGAAAAAGGCAAGAGTTTTTTATTGTCAGCATATATTTACTTTATCCTTTTCATTGTACCCCAAAGAACCTTTTATGATTCAGGGGCATTTGGCACTATTCAATTCCTACTACTCTGAAGTGAAAATAAAGTTTGATTTGCACACTATATTAAAAGTGAGGGAAGTATTTATAACAATTTTAAGCTTTTCCTTACTGATTAGAACACAGCCTTTTGTCACTAATTATTAGAGAGATATTCTAAACTTAAGAACAGATTTTTTTTTTTTTAAGGAGCAACGTGTTTTTCTTTTAACTTTTTAACTGTACTCTACTTTGACACCACAATATAGAAATAGATTTACTTTGGAACAAACTACAAATACATTTACACAGTTTGCGACAACTTAATTGTCTACCTAGGGCACTGAAATAGCTTGGTGAATTAGGTTATTATAAATCTTGTCCAAGCGTTCTATTTCTTCAATCAGGAAGTCAATGTCTTGATGAGTTGCTGCAGGGTTTGAGATGACCATACGGAAGAAATTGACCTTGTCTCCCAAGGGTTGATAGCTGACCATTGTGGTCCCATACTCCATCATTCTGGCTTTAATCACTGGTGCCACCTGTGGGACAGACCATGTAATACATGTGCAATGACTGCCCACAATCCCTGTCCTCCCCCTTAGTCAAGGAGTGTTTTTAGTTTTTAACTAAATAGAACCATATTTGTTTTCTCTTGAAGGAATTTTGTCTCTGAGTTTTCATAGAATCAGAGGACCAGAGCAGCTCAAGATCCTGAAGGTGATAACAATACTATCAGAAATGCTATCAGGCATTTCTCACCTTAGTTGTGGCTTTCTAGTTAGTGTTTTGGAGAATGGGAAGAATCTGGTATTGATTCAAGGCTAAATGGCTTAGCAATAAATGTTTATGGAAGATTTTCCCTCTAGAAGATGTAAAATCATTAGAAATAAAACATTGTTTGGAGAACTATTATCGAGAAGTAATCTTCAGTATCAAGTGATATATGAAAATAACAGACTTCTGGCAGTTTTCTTGAGATTTTAAACTTTTCTAATTTCCTTTTATTTCTTTTCTCATTGCCTCCATTTATAAGCTATTTTTAAAGACAATAATATGAAAAATCAACTAGGATAAAAAGCTGAACACACAAGTACTTCACATCCAGAAGTATCACAAGTAAGATTTTACAGTCTTTATGCCACACTTCATTACAGCCTCAGGAGTTCTTTATGGTGTATGAAATTAAGTTTAAGCTCTTAAACTTGGTACAACTTTTGTCATCTAGCTCTAAGGACACACCTTCCATTGCTCACCAAAATGAATGCTCAACTTGGGCAAATCTAGTTTATTAACTATCCCTTGAATGTACCACTTGCATTTTCTTCCCTTCATACTTGTCACCAGCCTTACCAAGTCATATTTGTTCTATTTTCTTAGAATCTCTTTCTCATCCAACACACATTCCCTTTGTACCACAGGACTCCACCATAATCCTATAACTGCTGCAAAGCCTTTCTGCCTTCTCCAGCCCATTAGTATCTTTCTTCTTCTAAGTTGTAACTACATGATTCTTGCCATAGATTCTAACTACATGCTCATTTCTTGTTAGCCTTCTACTGGTGAGCAAATAACATTTTCTTTCTCTACCTGAACTATAAGCTCCTGGAAGGCAGGGACAAGTATTTTCTAGCACAGTGCTGGCTATGTTTTGGATTTTCTGAGTTAATCAACTATAAGAAGTGGTATAATAGGAATAGCTACCTAGGAAGGAGCACGCATTTAAGTTGCTTCGTTATAACTGGATACATGATCTGTTCACATATATTTACCACTAGAATTTGTAATATAATGTGTAATCTTTGAAGTGCATTGTTGCAAAAAGATAACAGGAATGGTAGAAGGCAGAGAAGCTTTAGATTTATTTGAGATGCGCATGGTCGAAACTCAGTTGAAAATGGGGACCATGTTGTATATCACAGTTGGGTTCATCCTAAATGAAGGATTCTTAGATTCAAATGGAATGCCTTTATGAACGTGTGACTTTTGAATACCAATTCTTAAGTAATCATTGTTTAACAATGAAGTTTTCATCTTCAAAGTACTCAATGCACAAAATCAGCAGGGTTCCCATGAATCTTGTCTTTGGTTTCCAAAGACAAAGCCAGTAGACTGATTTCTCCTTCACATTCTGAAAATTGTTTCCTTATCTAAAAATGAAAGTGGATGATGACTGCAATGCTGAGAATTTCTGATTCTAGATTAGTGAGTTCCTACATCCCTTCCTTTTCCATGGGGAGATGATATAAAGAGGAATGTTTCTGTTGGGGTGATTGTTCTTTCACCTAAGGGATGAAGTATATATATGAAGAGCACTGGTCTTATTTCAGGGAATAAATATTTAAAAAATTTAAATATCTCAAGTATGGGATTAAGTTCTGAAATTAGACCTATTAGAATATTCTAACCCAATAACATAAAATTTATCATTTTGTGCTTCAACGCATGGTAAATCAATGATGTGTACCTGGGAAGAAAAATCTCTAAATTAGAAAAGGAATTCCAAATTCACATGACTGCATAAATTTGTGAAAAAATTATATAATTATTCTTTACTTTTATTTGTGTAAGTCATCCTTGATCTTTAGTTTTGATAAAACAATGATAATGCTTTACTCAAGTGACTTGAATTTAAACTCTGATTTCATTTTCAGGGCCAACTCAAGCAAAAACACGTGAAGCATGACTCTAGTTACTAAGAGCAACCATCTCTACCTTTTCAGATAACTGCAAATCAGAGGTCAAAAGACTGATGTTAACAGCTATGTCCCAAGCAGATTTTGACGTAAAGGGAGACTGAATCCCCTAGTTTCTGAAGCAAGCTGAGATGGTAGGAATCACAGCTGTCTAAATGCGTATGACTTGCTTGCTTCCAGAAAATGCTGATGAACAAAATGTAGCTGGAACATGGAACATCTATTTCATTACATACTCTCTAATTGCGAGTTAAAAAGGGAAATAAGATTCTGACTATTCTGATAGATTGATAGAGTTTTCTTATTTCTAGATTTTTTTTTTTTTGGTCAGGTTCTTGTTTTTCTGAATAAAGTCAATTGGGAAAGAAAGGGGCTGCATGTTGAAGAATTCACTAAAGACCTAATCAGTAAGAGCTCTTTTGGCACTGCCTTAAGAGTTTTGGGTTATTTTTTTCTCTATTTTGCCATTTACCTTTTCAATCCCTTAGAAAACAATACCAGGGGGATTTTCCCATAATTCAAATTTATATTTGTTTCTTCCTAACAGGGCTCGTGTCCATCATGAAATAACCATAAAAGCTATTATAGAAATGTGTTTTTGACTATGTGCTAGAGAGCCTTTTTATTTTTTTAAATCTTACAAATCTGAGAAGTTTTTGAAAAATGGGAAAGTGGAATTGTTATCAATAAGACGTTCTAAAATGTTAAAATCTCATCACTTAAATTACCCATTACTCTCAATAGCAGACTTTTTAAAAGTCACTTTAAATATGAGGCCAAATTCTTTACTAATTGACTACTAAATCCATTGCTGACTTTTTGAAAGTCATGAATCAGTGTAGGATATAAAAGCTCTATCAGCATACAGAGAGGCAAATATTGATCAAAAAAAATTAGAGAAGGGGCTGGGGATGTGGCTTATAAAGCATTTGCCTACTGATGAGGCCCTGGGTGTGTGTGTAGGGGATTGGGGAGAGGGGAAGAGAATGATGATGAAGGGAAGAACCAGAAGCACACGAAGTAATCGAAAGACTAGCCTGCTTAGGGAGTAGGAAATACATCAGGCAGATTCTCATCTTTACTTCCTCATGAAGATGTGACTGCTTGTTTTAGTTGTAACCACTTCTGTTATCCACATATCTGTCTCTAAGCCAGTACACTCTGGGAAAAGGCCCATGATCCACTATTAGTTTTCTAAATATTGGTCTCTTTCCTTATTATTATGGAATATGCAAAAGGTACTTTATATATGCTGAATGTGATGGTATCAGAAGATATGGTCTTTGGAAGGTTCTGCCTCCATGAATGTATTAGTGCCTTATAAATGAGACTCCAGAGAGCTCTTTGCACTCTTCCTATCATATGAAGATACAGTCAGAAAAAAGGCCATCTGTGAACCAGAAAGTAGGTTTCCAGCAGACTTGGAATATGCCAGCACCATGATCTTGGATTTCCCAGCTTGCAGAACCATAAGAAATAAACTCCAGTTGTTTATAAGCTATCCAGTCTATTGCAGTTTGTTATTCTGCAGCTCCAAAGATTATTATAGTGCTTTCTCAACAAATGATTTTCATATGCTTATTATATGTTAAAGCTCCAGGCATGAGGATACAGAATAATTGTGGACTTTGTCTTGCCCAGAACTGCACTTTGTTCTCACAAGGACATAGAAGGCATTTCCTTCCATTTTGGATCCTTGTCAGCATCGATTAAGAGAATTAGGTGGAGATGTTCTTGTCTTTAGTATGATGTCACAAGTTCCAAGTTGGGCACTTGAAATTTGGCTACCATGACTGTAGAACTGAACTTTTAGTTGAATTTAATTTTAATTAATTTAATTTTAAACATAAATAGCCAGATGCAGCTAATACTATTTAGTAGACAGGCCATATTATTTCACCTCAGCTCTTTTTCCCTCTGGGAGTATGCATAAGAAGATTTTAATGGTTCCTGGACTTATTACTTAAAGAATTTATAATTAATAAAGAAGTTTTCTGGAACTCAGAGATACCATTGACAAGCAAAAGTCGGCCTTCATATTTCATGTGATTCTATTTTCATTTTCAAATTTGAAAAGTTTAAAGAAAATCCAGCAATTCATTATAGTAATGAAAATGGAGTTTTAACAAAGAGAAGAAAAATCACAATTATCTTTGCAATCCTCAGAGACTTTCAAACTTGAATTACTAATATATGAATGCAGTCTACTAATACAGATTCTAACTGATATCTCAGGAAGTAATATCAATCCTTATCGCCATCACAGGTTATATGATATGTTCAAATTGAAGAATAATTTGAAGGGTTATATTTAAAAGAAAGAACCTCAAAGTTGGACTTTTTTCTTAGAAAATGAAGAAGATTTTTTGTTCTATATTTCCATCTTGCTCCACACCTCAGTCTGATGATAATGAACTGATTCAACAAATGACTGATAATAGATTTTTTTTTTTCAGTACGGGACTTTGAACTCAGGGCTTTGCACGTGTTAGGCAGCCATACCTGCAGCCCCATTCAATAAATGAAATCAGCCAAATGATTATCTGGTGAGTAGGTTATTTAAAGAAGTGAGTGGAAAAATCTAGTTTCTAGTTAATTTGTTAAATGAAATTATCCATTGTTAAGATCATTTATACTATGGCTAGTCAACATAAAACTCCAGGAAAAAAATATGAGTTCTTTCTATCAAGTGACCGTAGACCCCCACCCACTTTTTTTTTAAACCTGCAGCTGTTGTCTTGTCTAATGTCACCTCCCTCCCTTCTACCTCTTGGGTTTGATTTCCTGGGATGAATCAACTTACTAAAACTTCACAAACAATCACAACCCCTTACATCCAGGCACGTACACTATGAATCCAGGTTCTAGAAGCTTTCTTCCATTTCTTCCTAAGATCAGTGGTTCTCAGTCTTGGCCGACCATTGGAATTACCTGGAAACTTGGAAATATTCCCAGGTCCATCCAAGAGTAATCAACTGAAATTCTCAGGGTAAGACCTGTTCTCCCTATTTTGATAAAGCTTCTGGATGGTTCTAATATATACCCAGTATTAGGAACCACTACTCTAGGAGGCTTGAAGACTACCTCCTGCAAGTCTCCTCCTGCTGGAGTTTGATCTTGGGTGGCTTTTGGGCAGGTGTTAACATTTATAAACTTTTCTGAGAGTTTTAAATCTATATGAAATCTAAATATGAAAGGGAATAAAGTGTTTTGGAAGGTCAGTAAGGTAGCCCAAGCCTTAGAGGAGGGGGTCACTCTTACGGTAAATGAAGAAACCTCCAAACCAACCAACCAATCAACCAAGCAACCAACCCTCTGAGATTCAAATATACATGATCAGCTCTACTTTCCTGTTCCCACAGTACCATAGGAGATGGGACAGGCATTTATCTCCCTTTGGTGTGCATTGTAAATTTTCTTTCACCTATGTGTAAATTTTGGGAGCAAGTGAAGATTAAAGACAAAAGATACCTACTAACTACAGGAGAACTTGAAGCTAAGCCCTCAGGCTCTAGAGTCAGACTTTCTGCGTGATGTGGGGAAAGTTACTTTTCTCCCTGTTCTTCAGTTCCCTCATCAGCAGCATGGGAATACAACAGTACTTCTTTCTGTCAACTCCATCAGTTACTATGAGACTTTATGATGCCTGACAGAAATTTAGCCTGGGACACACTAAATGGTGGCTGTTATTATTGCTCCTTACCCTGTTGTCTTCTGGAAGTCATATGCTCTAAAGACCTCTCACAGTAGCCTTGACCTTGGTGTCTTAAAAGTGTCAGCAGGTTTTCTAATCATTTTTAGTACCTGACATCTCTTTTGTGCTTATAACTAGGCACCAGTTTTGCTTGGAAAATCAGTCACCTTTGACAAAAGTTCTTGCTGTTTTCTGTTTTTTTTTTTTTGGTGTATTGGGGTTTGAGCTCAGGACCTCATGCTCGCTAGACAGACACTCTTCCACTTGAGCCTCCTGCCAGCCCCTTGCTGTTTTCTAAATGCCAGTAAAAGTTGTCGCCAGATTAGTTATTTTAAGACATCATAAACTCTCTAAAGATCCAAGGACATAGAGCTGTGAAAGTCTGGATATATAAACTGTTTATCCTGGCTTCGTTGGGGCCCACAGAAGGGGGTGGGCCATGCACCAAGGGGATATTTCTCATAAAGATATGCATATGTCATATAGATGATGAACCCCAAATAAACACATAGCAAGGCAATCTCAGCACTCACCTTTGAGAGGCGACTCATTCTCTCTTCATTGTCTTCCAGAATGCGCAAACTGGGAGGTACATACCAGAAGCAGACATTTGTGTGCTGAGGCTACAAAGAAGAAAGAAAGATCAAGGGCAAACACAACAAGGGAATTGGACTTTGATCACATGATAAAGTGAGAGCACACAAGGGAGGGGTGAGGATAGGTAAGACACCTAAAATACTAGATAGCATTTGTTGCCCTCAATGCAGAGAAACTAAAGCAGATACTTTAAAGCAACTGAGGCCAATAGGAGAAGGGGACCAGGAACTAGAGAAAGGTTAGATCAAGAAGAATTAACCTAGAAGGTAACACACACGCACAGGAAATCAATGCGAGTCAACTCCCTGTGTAGCTACCCTTATCTCAACTAGCAAAAACCCTTGTTCCTTCCTATTATTGCTTATACTCTCTCGTCAACAAAATTAGAGATAAGGGCAAAATAGTTTCTGCCTGGTAGCCAGGGGTAGGGGGGGAGGAAGCAGGGGGGGTAAGGGAGGGGTGGGGGAAAGGGGGGAGAAATGACAAACATTGTATGCACATATGAATAAAAAAAAAAAATCAGACCAAAAAAAAAAAAAGAAAAACCCTTCACAAAAAAGTGAGAGCACACAAGGGAGGGGTGAGGATAGTTAAGACACCTAAAATACTAGATAGCATTTGTTGCCCCATGCAGAGAAACTAAAGCAGATACTTTAAAGCAACTGAGGCCAATAGGAGAAGGGGACCAGAAACTAGAGAAAAAGTTAGATCAAGAAGAATTAACCTAGAAGGTAACACACACGCACAGGAAATCAATGCGAGTCAACTCCCTGTAGCTACCCTTATCTCAACTAGCAAAAACCCTTGTTCCTTCCTATTATTGCTTATACTCTCTCGTCAACAAAATTAGAGATAAGGGCAAAATAGTTTCTGCCTGGTAGCCAGGGGGTAGGGGGGAGAGGAAGCAGGGGGGGGTAAGGGAGGGGGTGGGGGAAAGGGGGAGAAATGACCCAAACATTGTATGCACATATGAATAAAAAAAAAAAAAATCAGACCAAAAAAAAAAAAAGAAAAACCCTTCACAAAAATAAGGCTGGTGGAGTGGCTCAAGGTGAAGTCCCTGAGTTCAAGCCCCAGTACTGCAAAAATAAATAAAGTGATTGTTATAATTAAGAAAAAAAAAAAGTAAGAGTCTCCCGTCTCCTTTTGCCCAAACTGGCAATTCTGAAAATCCCAAGGATATTTTAAATCTATTTGTTCTTCAGGTTCAGAATACAATTGCTACTTCTACATTAGTGATTGCCTTTGGAATGCCTGGCTTTCACAGTATAGAGTTATTTGTGAGTCCAGTCCTTATTCCAATTCAAAAGAGCTACCCCATTATCCACTACTTCCCCTCTCCAATGGTCCCACTTAGCTGGACAACATGTTACTGACAAACCAGAAAGTATCAGTGCTAAAGACTGGAATTAACTTTTAGAAATTGTCAAAATCTGAGTACATACCTTTCCATCAAGCACCATTTCATATCCTTCTCGGTTTTTTATGATGTTGTACAAATATTCTGCCAGCTCCAAACACTTGTCAATATGTGCTTCAAACCCAGCAGTCCCCTACAGAAGAGAACAAGCAGTTTAGGCAGGCTGAGGATGTGGGTAGTTCTCAGGTGGGGATGCAGGGACAAGCGAGCTCTCAGGAGAATGCCAGTCATTTTGTCACTTCTGATTCCTTATGGCTGTGGTACTTTTCTTACACAGCACTGTTTCTAGAGGCTTTTCTGCAGTTCTGTCCCTTTTAATGCCCTCTCTCTTAGGTGCTTTTGTTCCCTTTCATACTGTTCTCAGCTCACTCCTTTTCTTCCTGAGCCTCCATTTCCTTGAGCATTTAATTACTCAAGGGGGAAATTTGCCTCTGTAGCTCATAAAGGCAATCACGGAAGCCACTAACATCAGAAGGGCTGGGCGAGTTTCTTCGTGGAGCTAAGAAACATCGTCAGACACCCTCAGGATGCTGCCTGGCCCCAGGCCCATCTGTAAATTCTCCACTTATGTACCCAATCTTTGTTCACCATGATGCCTCACCACAGAACAAACCAGGTAGGCACTGTCTGAATGTGAGCTGAACAAGTGAGCAAGTGGCTCTTAGGGAACACCCGCACACTTTGTTAGACTGACATCCTGTCGAGCTCACTAGAGTTTTCCTTTGGAGACAGATGAACGTCTGATGGGTGAATATTGTCACAGAATCTTTTGGTTTCCAGCTTTGGGATCCCTGAGTCTGGACTTTGGTAAAACAAAACAACAGGTTTGGACTTGGAGCCATTTAGCTGACATCAGGACAAACTAGGGAATTACTTTTCAAAATGGCTTTCCTCTGATCTTCTTCAGCATTTACTGAGTCTAATGGAAAGCTTAAAACAGACATTTGGTGAGTCAAGTGTGGTGGTGTGTGCTTGTAATCCCAGCACTCAGGAGGCCGAGGCAGGGAGATTGTGAATCTGTCCTGGACTACCTACTTTGAGGCCAGCTTGGGCTACATAGCAAGATTGTGCCTCAAAACAAAAACAAAAACACAAAACAGCTAACACTCATCCCAGGAACACTCAGAAGTGGTCTACCAGCAACTGATTCAACATGGAAGCTATAAGGAGCAATTGTAATGGAGATAACTGAGTCCATTTTCTTATTTACAAAGGGCCTCAACATCCCACTGAATAGGGGGCCCAGTGTAACATTGGAACAGGTTTAAAAACAAGCTGCAACGAGAAATCTAATGTGCTCAGAAGTCCGTTTCTTTGGAGATTCCTTCTCCAGTGGTTGGCTCAAGTTTACTGATCGGTTTCTGATGACCCCTAGAACGGGTGTGGCTAATGCTAGCACCTGTGCCATGAGCTCCATGAGTCTACGGGGCTAAGATATTAGCACTGGTTTAGCCTGGCCTGGAGGTTTGGGTCCACTTGAATGAACTCTGGTTCTGCAGGAGCCCACAGAAGGGCTTGGCCCATGCACCAAGGTCCCATTACTCCTAAAGACAGGCACATGTCAGAAGATGCCACTTCTGAAGTGACTATAGCATATCTTGCTGTATCTCTATTTTCACTGGCATCACCCCAGTTCTGGCCCTTACTTTTCATCCTTAGTCACCTTAGGCTCTTCCAGTCTAGAACAAGCACTTGTGCTCCTGCTTGACCTTCTCTCTGGAATGTCCTTTTTCCAGCTGTGCTGCTCAAAATCTTACTGATTTTACCTGTCCTGTTCAAGTGCCAGCTCAAATGTCACCTCCTGCTAAAGCTTTCTTGATTGTCAAATTAGGAACAAACTCTCCATTCTTTCTTTCTTTTTTTTTTTTGGCAGTACTGTGGTTTGAACTCAGGGCCTTGTACTTTTTATGCAGGTGCTCTACAACTTGAGCTACGCCCTCCGTCCTTTTTACTTTAGGTATTTTTCAAATAAGATCTCACTATTTCTGCTAAGAACAGTCCGAACCACGATCCAGCTATTTACACTTCCCTCATAGCTGGGATGACAGGTCTACAACACTACACCCAGCTTTTGATGGTTGAAGTGGTGTCTCTCAAACTTTTTGCCCTGCTGACTTTGAATTGCCATCCTCGAGAGCTCTGCCTCTCAAGAGGCTATAATTATAAACATGAGCCACTCCATCTAGCTAGCACTCCATTCTTTAAGTCCATATGGTGTATCTGTGTTTCTTTTGTGACCAGGTATATCCCGTTTTCTATGACAGGTACCTCTGCATTTAATTTCACCCTGTCTGGAAAATAACAATCTCTTTATCCCACCCACTCATCACTAGGCAGGACAACAGACACTCAATATCTATTTATAAAGCTAACTAATACTTTAGAGAGACAGTGAACATGTCATCACCTGGCCAAGGATGCCAGACATCAATTTCTCTTTAATAGCTTTTTGCTGTTTTTATTTTCTTAGCCAGTTGTTACTCTCTTTGTTATCTACATGTCAATTAGAGAGGCCAGTCAGAAGAAATTACCAAAAAACCCGCCAATTTGCATAATCACAAACAAACAGAAGTGTACTGTAAAACCTTGGGAGTTACACGCTATAGAAGCATGGCCCTCCATAGCAGGTGCAGGTGGCAATGGCCCTGCCCTCCTGGCGGGCCTCACTCCTGCCTACCGTATTGCACATGAAGTCATCTTTGCAGACCTAAAAAAGGGAGAGTCACTTAAAGACCTATTTACTTATGTCTGCTATCCAGTTTTAACCACTGAGGAAATCCATCAACATGGAAAATAACCACTGAGTCCTAGAATTCTGTAGGATGCAACCAAAAGGAAAGGCCCACTCAATAAGAACAAGCTTACTTATCTTATTTCTGTATAGAACATCCTTGGTATCCCACACCAGGAGGCTCACTGTTGGCGTACTTTCCACACAATCAAGTCATCTCGAATCTAATGTGTATTTGGTTCCATTGCTCATTAACAGATTGATCTGAAAAATGGCAGCTTGTACTTAAGCTACTTTTATTTATTTATTTATTTATTTGCAGCACTGGGTTTGAACCCAAGGCTTCGTGCTTTTACTGCTTAAGCCATTCCAGCAGCCTTAGGTTATATTCTTCATGTGGTTTCCCCCTCCGAGGAGAGGATGCTGATTAACTTGAACACTGCATTTTCCAGGCACACCTGATAACAGAGAGGTTGCTGATCTGTACTCTTACCTCCTCTTCTTTCCCCATTCCAGTGGGTATGCAAAATAGACCATCACACCCAACTCTTCTGTGGGTCTCCCACTGCCCCTCCGTGCTGGGGCTGGAACCCAGGGCCTTGAACCGAGTAGGCAAGTGCTCTACCACTGGAGCTCCATCCTCAGCCCTTGCCTCATTACATAACCCAAGCTGGCTTTGAATTTGAGATCCTCCTACCTCAGCTTCCTGAGTGCTGAGATTACAGATGTGCACTGTGACACTCCATCCACCTGTGGTTCTTCGTGCACGGAGATTTCTTCTGTGTGTGGCATGACTAGGGAGCTTTTGATGGGTTAACTATCCACACTTCTGATCTAGGTTGTAGGGCCGGGGTTATTACTTTAATAATTATCACCTCATGTTGCAACAAAATGTAGCTTTAGGTTGAAAACTCAATGGAATTTTTTGTCATTTAGATGACATGTTTGAAGTTCTGCATAAGGAATTAAAAGAATGTATCTTCCCGGGGAACACAGCTGCAGTGATTTTTTTCCTTTTTCTTTTACGCCCCCTCTCTGAGTCTTTTTTAGCATGTTAAAAATGAACTCCTTTGATTTTATTTTGGGCTTCATCTGGTCCTGCTGTTTGATTCGCACCTGGTGTTCTCCAAGTTGTTTCTCTAAGAACCAAGGACTGCCCCATGCTGGAGATGAGGCTTCAGATGGAAAAAGAGCAGCAGGGAATGATGAACCACAAGAGAAACCGCAAGTTTTTGTGTAAATATAATTAATGATCATTGTCTCAATAAAAACAACCACAGGAAAAAGAGACAAAAAGAATGACACTTGAAATAGTAGGGATTTTGCACACTATTTACAGATCAACTTACTACTCGATACTGACACCCAGCCTTTCATTCTGTAATTCCCACCAATAATGAAATAAAACCTGCTTGTTTTAAAGAAGATTGGGAACACATCAACAATTTATACCCTTGACTTTTTTCCCCCTAAATGTCAGTCATGCCCATTAGGATGAGTCTTGGGTGGTGTGGACAACTTACATGTTCTTGTCAGGTTCTCAAATTTCAAAAGAGGAAGGAAGCCCCTGCCAGGTTCACAGGAACTTATTGGGCATCACAGGTTGACCTCACTTCTTGTAGCTGATCAATTCTTAGCAGCTCATGGAGAAAATTCAGCTGGGGTAAATACTACCATGAAGACTTGCCTGTAGGACATGTAGTCCAGCTGTCCTTGGAAACCATCTAAGAGTTATTTCTGCATTAAGTGAGAGCATCTTTCTATTCAAACTTCCTCTTTTGTCTACGATGGATTAAAGATTCCTAAAATACTTGTGGACTGACTTGTTTCTCTTCCAAGTCTCTCTCCCCACCCCCTTTTTCTTGTTAGCCATCCACCCCCATCTGCCACCTAAGGTAATTCTGTTTACTAGGAAAAATTTCCATAAACTATAGTACATGGAATTTGTCACTGTGAACATGGATCCTACTCTTTACAAAGTCCCAAGGAAGGAGTCATCCCTGGTCTGCTTCTGGCTTGTCTCATTTCTGACGATTAAGTCATTTGCTTGTTCCTATGGACTGAGCCTGTTACTTCTTTGCGTAGGGAAGGACAAAGCTTAGAGACAAATGTGTGCCCTCTCTACCAAACCTACAGGACCTCAGGACATGCCAGCTTCCCTTTTTAGCTCTCCCTTACCCGTTTTCCTATTTCAGGTGTCCCTGGAATGCTCTTTTTGCAGCTGGGTTTCTGTAGGATATCTAGGTTGCTCTAGTCATTGCCTGCAGATAAGTGAAATCAGGTGGAAACACTGATTTGTGACCTTAAATTGGGAATCTGGTCAAAATTAAAAGTATAATATTTGACTTTTGGGCCTACTTACACTTAACATAAATATATGTCTTAGAAGGGCTACAATGAGGCCAATCATTACTGCACACCATTAGTTTTTATTTTTTCTTGTTTTGTACACCATTAGTTTTAAAAAGAGCTGTATCATTACAGATTATTCCTTGAAATGTACAAAATAGTTGCCATGGTGGACTTTTTGCATTTCTTTTTTTGTTCTCCAAATAATTCACTGGGTAAAATCACCAGGGAAAAAAACAAGAGTCAGGTCAGATATAGTGGCTCAGGCCTATAATCCCAGCTATAGGAGAGGCAGAGATCAGGAAGATCTCGCTGGAAGACCAGCCCAGGCAAAAAGTTCACAAGACCCTATTTGGCATGGGTTGTGTGCCTGGCACCCAGCTAAGTTGAAAGCATAAATAAGAGTACTGAGGTCTGGGCTGGTCTGGGCATAGAAGCAAAAGACCCTATTCAAAAAATGACTAAAGCAAAAGGAGCTGGGGGTATGGTTCAGGTGGCAGAGTGCCTTCCTAGCAAGTTCAAGGCCCTGAGTTCAAAACTCCATATTGCCTCCAAAACAAAAAACAAAACAAAACAAAAAACCCAATACCTAAGAGTTAGAAGATCAAGTAAATCCAACAATGACACCAATAACGAACACCTCTTAAGATCAAGGTGTTTTGCCAGATAACACAAAATGAATTTGCTTTCTACATGAGTGAGTATTCTAAGAAAATGGGCTTGAAAGGAAATAAACAAGAGGTCTGATTATTTTCATAACCATGTAGAATGCAGGTATGTAGATAAAGGATTAAAGAGACCTAATCTTGGCCAGGTGCTGGTGGCTCACGCCACCTAGCTACTCAGGAGGCAGAGATCAGGAGGATTGAGGTTTGAAGCCAACCTGGGCAAATAGTTCATGAAACCCTATCTCAAAAAAAAAAAAAATCACAAAAAAGAAGGAGTGGCTCAAGGTTTAGACCCTGAGTTCAAGCCTTAGTATCACAAAAAAAAAAAAAAAAGAAAAAAAAAACTTAATCTTGAGTAATTTTTAATTTGGTAATCATTTTTTAAACATACCATCAGATAAAGTCAGTTTTTCAGCTGACAGTTGCTGGTCTACACATGCTCACCTTTGCCCTCCACATTAGCCATAATTTAAAAACATCAACGTGGCGTCCACACTGTAAGGCCTTGTCTCCTGTGTCATAGGACAGGTCATAGTGTTTATCTTGCTGAAAGAGGTAGGAGGCATGCATCTGATTGCAACTCTGCATCAATCCCTAAAAGACAAGAGAGAAAATTCAGAAGACTCTATAGACTATCCATTAGGTCTACACTATGGTAAGAATGATTAAGAAAAAAATATAAATAAAGAAAGACATTGTGTATCTTGGAAAAAGAAAACAGTAAGAACCAAATTGAAAAAAAAAAAAAAAAAGCCGGGTGCCAGTAGTTTACGTCTGTAATTCTAGCTACTCAGTAAGCAGAGATCAGGTGGATCGTGGTTCAAAGACAGCAGGGGCAAATAGTTTGTGAGACCTTATCTTGAAAAACCCATCACAAAAAAGGACTGGTGGAGTGGCTCAAGGTGTAGGCCCTGAGTTCTGGACGAGACTTTGCAGGCTACTGTCATAGGTTGACTCTGTGGGCTAATGGGCTAAGGGTTGGATGTTTTCACAGGTTATACTTTTCCTCTTCCTTTAAAAAGAAGACATTTCTAAAAAAATACTTAAAGAAATAAAAATCACAATCACAGTGTGATACTCATTCTTTAGGAGACCATCCTGATGTTCTTATTTTGTTATAATTAAAAGATTTCGGAAACTCTCTGGTTCTGTAAAATATAATGAGTGTAGTTCTTCTAGCATTTTCACCCATGTCTAGTTTAAGGACTTTATAGTGTAGACGTTAAGAGTTTGAGGTGTCTTTGAAAACTAAAGCTTTTCAGACAGTTAGTTGGTAGCATTTTTATAGGCTGAGAGCTAAAAAACAAAAACAAAGACATTATAATTCTGAGATGGATTTCAATGACCAATCTTTTCTACACTATATTCTTTTTCCAGTGGTCAACTTCAGTACCTCATTTTCACATTTAGTTGCTTGTGGAAGTTGCAAAGGGCGAGTTTCATTGTCAATGAACATTAATTTTCCTGAGCACCATAACCTTGATATGGAAATGATCGAACTATTTCAAAGAACAGTGAATGAATCATGCTTCTGACTAAAATAGCATTGACAGTTTTTTCTCATTGGAAGTTTGTCACAGACAGTTGGAAGCCTTTGACTCTTGTTATCTACTGTGTAATTGTGTTTTTATAAAAGCTTTGCCATTTGGTTTTTGTTTCTTGTGTGACTCATGACAAGAGAAGAAAAGACTAAAGTGTTGTCACTGAGTGAAATTAGAGGTAAGAAACCTTTTTAAAAATTATCCAAACTAAAACTCAGTGCAATGCAACTAAAACTTTAACTATATTTTGAAAGACAGAGTGACCCAGTGGTAGTCAACAGAACTGGATCTACCTTGGAGTTGGGGCTTCATACTTATTCGAATACATGAGGTTAATTTGAGAATAAGAAAAAATAAATACAATGTTGAATTTGGGAAAAAAGTTCACTTAAAGACCAATAAGATGTGAGAATTAAAACGGTTGCTTCTATTTTGTTTCATGGCCACAAAAACTGTACCATTCTTTCTTTGGACAGACAAACTCACGAATAGACAAATACTAAATGAGACCGTCTCAGAGAGTGTGGAATGATGGGTGGATCAGATCAGCTCCTATTATTATAAACATGTTAATAGTTGCTGTACAAAATGGAATTCTCTGCTCAAATAAATTTAGAAAACTCTGTGTCATAAATCCCTCCTTTTAAAGATATTATAATATGTATAAGCATATTAAAGGCTCTAATAATCCCTGAAATACTGGATCATATTTTCAACTGTAATCCAATATATCTCAATGTTTTTAGCTTGAACATTCTTTTATCACAGAATATTCACTGCCATTTTATGGGATGCCATTTTTTCCTGGACCCCAAGAAAAGAAATGCTATCAGAGCATCATATATTCTTTGATTTTGAAGGGAGCTCAGAGCTCATTTAGTCTATTTCTACTCAGTAAAGGAATCCTTTCTTATACCTTTCTAAGAAGGGACTGTCCAATTTCTATTCAACCGTCTTCCCTATGATTTATTTATTCCTACTAATTGACAGCTCTCTTAAAAAAAGTGTTCCTTTTATTGACACCAAATCAAACCTAAAACCCCCTGTGTGTTCTGATTTTGCCACCAAATCTGTACCACTTTAACCCCTTCCTTCAAATCTTCGGGGAGAAAAACAAAACAAAACAAAGCAAAAAATCAATTTATTCTACTTGAAGTCCTTTAAATGGTGAAAGCTGCTCTCCTTCTCTCAGCCCTTTTCATTTCTTTTTAAAAAATTTCCCTAAGATAAAAAGTTATAGTTCTTTCAACCATTCCTCTTTACAGCTTCACCGACTGTTCCTTACTGTTTGAATTCTCACTTGATGATGTCCCATGTATGATCTGTTGTTGAGCTAAGGAAAACACTAAAGGCACCAGAAGAGAGTGGGAGGTACTGTTTCTCTCATGATGAAATTGTACTTCTTTTATCACATTTGTGTTTTTATTTATTTGTTTATCTATCCACCTATATTAAATTGTATATAGCAAGGGGTTTCATTATGATGTCTCCATATCATTCATTTTTTTTCCAGGGGCATTTTTTTTTTTACTCTTTGTTGTCCCTGCAGAGTACAACCTAAATCCTATGTCCTTTTCAAAAGACCAACAATTTAGCCATGTGTGAAACAAACCTACCTTGTCCAGTCAAAATACACCTACCCTATACTTGGACCTAAGAGCAGAACCTTGCAATGATCCCCTTAAACAATTTCCCTTCTGTGCATGTGGCGGCATGCTGTTCTAGTCTGTAAAACTCATCTGTGTTCTGATTTCATTACTGCATAAACTCAGTATATCTTTGTTTTCTTCTATCTGAAGCATTCATAAGCTTCTATGTTTTACTCAAAGTGTTGGTTTTTAATGTAGCAAGGTTAGACACCAAGTCACAGGTTCTATAAGTACGTGTTTCTGATACAGTCATCTGATCAGATCCAACTCTGCCAATTTTTATTGAATTTGCTTGGATTTCTATTTTGTCTGTTAGTGACATGATAGGAGTCACTGTCAAACATCTGGCTGAAATCTAAATGCCAAAAATTTATTTTTTCTTTTCATGTAGTACAGCTGAGGTTTGCATGAAGTAAGGTAGATGATAATATATCAAACTGGAGATTAATTTGATGGACAAGCAGCCTGAAACAATATTTTTCAATGTATTTGTCTCATTTTGGAGGGAAGTTGTCTTCAGTCTTCAGATTTTTATCAGTTTATTTCATGAAGACACAGAAAAGCATGTTACTTACATTTCTCAAGAGGAGGTATTAAGAGTCATAGAAATAATAATGCCCTTTTACACAGCTTTCTACTTTGAGGAATCTGCTTTAAGAAATGTGATAAAAATATATGTTTAACAACAAGGGGATTGGACTTTGAGTACATGATAAAAGCGAGAGCACACAAGGGAGGGGTGAGGATAGGTAAGACACCTAAAAAATTAGTTAGCATTTGTTGCCCTTAACGCAGAGAAACTAAAGCAGATACCTTAAAAGCAACTGAGGCCAATAGGAAAAGGGGACCAGGAACTAGAAAAAAGGTTAGATCAAAAAGAATTAACCTAGAAGGTAACACACATACACAGGAAATCAATGTGAGTCAATGCCCTGTATAGCTATCCTTATCTCAACCAGCAAAAACCCTTGTTCCTTCCTATTATTGCTTATACTCTCTCTACAACAAAATTAGAGATAAGGGCAAAATAGTTTCTGCTGGGTATTAAGGGGGTGGGGGAGAGGGACGGGGCAGAGTGGGTGGTAAGGGAAGGGGTGGGGGCAGGGGGGAGAAATGACCCAAGCCTTGTATGCACATCTGAATAAAAAAAAATAAAAAAAAATATGTTTAAGAATTTTATCAAACCACTGTATATTATGTGATACTATAAGGCCATTTAACATTGTCTTTGGGGTGGGCTGGGTATGTGGCTTGGTGGTAGAGCACTTACCTAGCCTATGTGAAGCTCTGGGTTCCATTACCAGTACCACAAAGAAAAAAAATTTTGGAATATCATGCTCGCTATATAATGTTAAATATAAAAAAGAATTAACATGTATGCACATAGTGATAGCAGTTTTACTTTAAATACACAAATATTTAATTTACATTATATATCTGTATTTCTGGAAAAACTGTAGGAGAAAATATTTAAAAATAGTAATATTTATCTCCAAATGACAGAATTTTGGGCAAGTCTAAATTTATCTATAGTTTCTGTCCTGCCCAAATTCTCTAAAATAATTATGTGTTAACTTCATAATCAGGAAAAAGTAAAATATTTTTAAAGCAAATAAAGATAAATATTTAAAAAACCTTTTGGCCTGAGGTTGCTTTATAAATTCTAACAAGTTAAATTTAACAACAATAAACTGAAGCTCTTTATTTAGTTCTTCAAAAAAAATTTATTAGCATAAATTAATTGTATAAAACATGCAAATAATGCACTTTGATCAAAATCATTCCATCTATATTATTCTTTCTTAGCTGCTTTTCTTCCTCCCCCTTCTTTACTTAGTTCTTATCAACAAAATTAATGTAGGAGTGAGGCGATGTGACTTTGTCCTGGTATCATGGAGGGGAGATGTAGAGGTGTTGGCTGACTGAGCATCACAGAGAATGACCTCAGGCAATGTTCACAGAACAAGAATGAATAGAAGTGGTCACTGTTTAGTCTGTTCTCTGCTGGTTGACACATATGCAGATGGCTTGCACTCTGAACATGACATTAACAATTAAACAGAATAGAATAGAATTAGGAGGTATATAATACATGTATACTTACACATCCATGTATATATATATGTGTGTGTGTGTGTGTGTCCATATATGAATCCTAACACTAACCTTAATTTTATATCATGTATATTTTTTATGATAAACCTACATTTTAATGGGAGAAACTGTTTTGTTACAGAAGAAAATTGAAATTTAATTTTTTGAGAGAGTAACATAATGGGTCTCTGGCTTAGGGGACACCAAGTATAGTTGGGGATGAAGTCACGGTTTCTGTTGTGAATGTTGAGGTCTCCACTTTGCCCTCTAGCACCCTAACCCTCCAGACATGAGTTTAGAAGAGCATTTCTGGGGAAAATGAGCATCTTGACATTTTGAGAGAAAGTCAACTGTATAAAAAAGGTGAAACCCCACCTCTGATCTGGGACACAAAGTCAGGAAAGACATACCTCTTCTCTGACCAGGAGAGCTGAGCACTGCAAAGGGACACCCATCATCTTGTGTGGATTCCATGTCACAGAGTTGGCCCTAAAATAAACAAATCACATATGAGGATTGCACCTCACATCTGACAGCAGATCTACTAAGGTTTTGCACATGGGCAGCAGCGCTTCAGCCTGTTTGCACTGTGGCTCAGACTCCAAGATGACACTACAATTACAAAACCAAAGGAGACTCAACAATGTGCAACTTTTCTCTGTCCACAGAGATGATGGGGAAAGACCTCCATTCCCATGTGGTATCTTTTCTTACAAGTTCCAGTGGGAAGCTCCCGACCTCTGTGGTGGTCTGAGAATCCCTTAGAGGGACCAGGATCACTGAGCTCAGTGTCCTGCCTTGGGTCACTGATGATCAGAGCACAAGGTAGGTGAAAGGAGCACCTTACTGTCCCTGTTTCTGATACCATTGAAGTGACCTGGTGCTGAGAGAGAATGCTCATTCCACTGATGAATCTGCCTCTTTCCTCTACCCCATTTCTCCTTCCTATTCAACAGGTGACCAGATTTCTCAAATGTGTCCTGTAGAGCTCCTACACAGTCCCCTGTCTCCCTCCCTTCTATAATCCAGAGCCATCTTTCCAGACCATGGTGAGCTAGGCTGTGGCTCACACAGCAGAGGTTTAACTGGTTTTGTCCTCACACACCTGAGAAATGAGAAACGCTCTCACCAGTCACTGTGGCTCACAGAAGTGATGCACAGTTCAGCAATTTATGAACCACAGTTCTGGTCCAGATTTCTTTAATAACAACAATGATTATTATTTTAATCCTGGTACAGCAATTGTGTCTTAACTGACTCTTTCCTCTACCTGGTTCCAGAGCTATCTTCATGCTGTGTTTGTGGCTTTCTTTTCTAGATAGTTGACAGCTCCCTTTTACCTCCCGTCCAAATTCCAAATTGCAGGGCCTGGCTCATGGTGTCCCTTCATTTTCTCTTGTTCATCTTTATCACACCAGATTATTCTTTGTTCTCAGAACATTCTATTCTTGTGCCCCTGGGTCCTGCCATGCTATTTTCTCTTACTGGAATGTCATTCCCCTTGGCTTTACTTGGTTAAATCTTACTTACTCTTTAACATCCCAGAATTCTTTAAGTATTACCTCATAGCTTCATTCAACTTTCTTTGATTTCTCTCTCTCACTCCACAGGACTATCTACTTCTACTCCTTCTCTGATGCTCAGGGAAAGTAACTTCTCCCACCACAAATCCCACATTTATAGGTAAGATGAGTTTTTGTGCTGAGTCAAAAGCCTCACAGTGTGACCTTGATATAAACAAACCCATAGGAGGAAGGAAAGTAATAGAACAATCCTTGGCAGCTGCTTGCAGAGGACCCTGGATTGCTGTTCCGTGCTCTGGCTGAATCATGGACTTGGGCTCCCCCTGCTTCCACCTCTTCAGGGTGTGAGGGCCTTGGGAAGAAATGAGATGTTGGGTAAGAGTCCATCCATCCATTTGATGGATGGCAGGTGTCAGCCAGACAATCAGAGGACACTTAGTGACCTGGAGATCTTATCTGAGCCAATGAATAGTCCAGCTCATCTTCTGGCCTGTCTTTGGTTCTAACACTGGTTGTCAGATATACCGAGGACTGGAATTGGGAAATGGAAGCAGACAGTTCATGGTCAGATCAGCACCTCTGGAGAGGGTCATAAATGGCTTCATGAATAATACCAGGCTGTGGTTCTGGAAACTTCTTTCCACGAAGATATTCCTCACTCTATAGAAATACTTTAGAGTCAGGAAACTTTGGTTCTAAAGCAGTAAGTAATAGTAGTAAAGAGATAATAGTCAGGGAGCCAGATGGTATGGGGTTTATATCCCTGTTTCATCACTTTCCAGCTGTGTGACCTTAAGCAAGCAACTTAACCTCTCTGTGCCTAGATGGCTTCATCTGTAAAAGGAGAATTTTAGTAAATAGTTTGTATAAAGTGATGATAACTGTGCCTCACACAGTGAGCATTAAATAAGTTTGGCTCCTGCTTATTGATTTTATTCCTGTCACTTACAGGCTTTGTGACAGTGGGCAGACACACACCATTATTCTATGCATCCCATATATTTTATAGCTATATCTCCAACCCTGATTAACTCAGCTTTGTCAATAAAGATACCTGACAGGAGAATAAAACAGATGTGATTTATCAATTCCATTGCGTGATTGTTTATTTCTATGTATGGCCTATTTGTCTTTTTAGGGTAGAAACTTCCAAGGCCTACAACCACCTGTCACTGGATTCTCTGTCTTGCCTTTCTCCCAGAGGCATAAAGATGTCTCATAAAGTTGGCAAGGAGTTGTACAGAACAAGTCGGTAGTGTGGCCTTCATTTATTTGAGAAATGGTGGCGCTAGGTGTTTTTCTGGGGGATTCACTCATCGCAGCTTCTGTAAGTTGGAGAGAGCTGAACCCCAAAGGCTATTTTCAGACAAATCCTTGTGCCTTCATTTGTACTGCAGATGGACTCATAAACTCGCCACTATTTATCCTTCCAGATCTATTATTTCTCCTCTAGCTTCTGTGTTCCTGGCACCATTTTTCTCCCAGGCATTCCCCTCAGGGTTATGCTTGGTTTCATTCTCTGCTGATGCCACCCTTGCAGTTCTACTTCCTCATCTCCTGGATCATCCACTCATCTCTCTCTCTGACACTCTGCTCCAGCCCTGGCCACAGCCTCAGCTGCTCTTACCTCCCACAGTTCTCACAGCTGTCTTTCCAAACAAGTGAGACATCAGTCCTCTGCTCAAAACCTGGCTGTGGCTTCTACAGCTGAGGGTTTCCAGCTTCCTGGGCTCTACCTCAAGGACTACTGTTCTCTCTTGTAGTTGTGGCTCATGTAGTCTTTAATTCCTAGCTCATGGGTCTGTGGCACACCAACAGCACCCCTGGAGATTCGACTTGTCTCTGTCGCAGGTCCTCCACTGAGACCCTTGGACAGGACTTCTACACTTTCCGCCATTTTCCTCTCCACTGTCACCAATCTACCTCATCCTCCAACAAAACCCATTTCAACTTTCTCCAAGGACCCTGTGCACTTTCAAACATTGATGTCTCTGCTCTTCATTCTTCATCTTTACCCCTTACCTATGCAGGTGCTAAGAACGCCCCCTGTAATAATGTCATCCAGCAAGTCAGTCCCTCCTCTGGCCTCTAATCAGTCCACTTGCCCCTGGCTCTCAGACGAGGATGGGGGCAATTGGTAACATAACTTGTGTTACCTTGCATAGCCTTCTGCAGGCTGTATGGCCTTGAGAACAGAATGCAGCAAAAAACTATTACAGGTAAGCAGCATCCTGAGGAGGAGACTGAGGAAGTTTAGTGTGGGGCTACACTCTGGAGCTTCTGCACGCCTGGCCTGCCCTATCAGCTGCACCTGTTCTAGAAATGTTAGTGATGCTGGCAAGGAAAAGTTGTCTTCCGAGACTCCCCAAAAGGGCCACCAGGAAGGGCTCAAAGTGCTTTGTCATCCTGCAGTGAGGATGGCATTCAGAGGTTTCCCGAGAAACTGATTTTTGGGACAAGAATTGACCACTGATTTTCTCCTCATTTAGAGTGAGTTCTAAACTTTGGCTGTGGCCCTTGGAAAAAAAGTAATTTCTCCAAGCGAGGGCCATTCTTTCCTACACTTAAGCCCAAGCACATGCTGCTTCAGAAGTTTCCACTGGCCTTATGACTTTAATCATAAGAAGTCATCAAGACGAATACTCTTAGGTAAGTGGGTGGCTAAGAGGGTCCCTCACAGAGTCGAGCACTCAGTCCCCTCACTTCTAGGGCTTCGTATTTGGCTATTTCTTTGGGTAGATTTAGTTATAACCATTTCAAGAATGTGGCAAAAAGAACAAAAAGTACTTTGTTCCACAGTGAATGTTCTGAGCTTTGTTCTCAAATAACAGTCATTAGTACAAAAGTGTGTGGGTGTTTACTTTTCTGAGGCTCAGGGTAGGTAATTTAGTGAGCTCTCAAGTGCAGGATGTTCCATGGTTTTTAGCACTTGCAGCCACAGGTGTTACTAAAGGGTAGAACAACATATTCTCACGTTTTGCATCAGTCAAAAAGAAACTCACAGGAAAGAAGGTACTGTGCTTAGGTCCTCAATCCTGAAAGCTCATTAATTTAATGGCTGTGTGTCTGTGTGTGTGTGTGTGTGTGTGTGTGTGTGTGTGTGTGTGTGTGGCTGGGATGGAACCCAGGATCTCAAGCATGCTAGGCAAGGACTCCATCACTGAGCAACACACCTCTGTCCCTGAATTTAACTGCTGTTCTGGTCATCTGAGCAGGTACCATCTCTATTTCCTCTCTCCTCTCTCCTTTCCTACTCTCCTCCTCTCCCCTCTGTTCTCTCTCTCTCCCCCACTCCATTGTCTCTCCTTGTTTAGTCTATTATCACTTCCTTAAGCTTCTGGTTTCATTTGGATCTTCGTGATGGAAAGGGATTAGACCTCAGAGGAGCCCAAAGAACCAGGAGAAGAAATTAAAACTCTGGGAGGGAGATGTGCCTACTCTCTCCCATGTCACCTTAGCAGCTCCTGTGGTCAGAGCCAGTGCCTTAATCCAGCTGTACTCAAGTCAGAGCCCTTGCAAATAGATTCAGGGATAGCAACATCATAACATGGGGCTTAGCTGGCTGGCCCGACTCTTCCCCAGCCTTCTTTCCAATAATTCAGCAGAGTAGCTTTGGCTCCATCCCAGTAACCCATCTCCCTCTTTCCGCACTGTGGTTTCTCTGTGTGTGAGCAAGTCTGGGTGTCACACAGAACACCCTGCGCATTCCCTCTGGCTTGGGTGCCCTGCACGACCAGGGCTGACAGATGTTCCCAAGCTCCATCAGCCTCTCTTCCTTGTACTGAGCAGAAACTGTGCAGATGTCTAGGGGCAGAGTCAGTGTGAAGCTTTTTCTGAGTAGCATCTGGCTACTTGGCCGAGCATTGTGGGCATTTGGCAGCCTCTGTTGATTTTAGGCTTTCTTATGCCCTGGAGTGTCAGAGCTCACAATAATTGACCTGGTTGACTTGCCATGCTGTGATGGGAAAACTGGCTTCTTTTTGCATGTGGTTCAGGACTAGAGCCCGAGGCTGAATTTTGCATTCTACATTTTTTTTCCCTTGGACCTGAATATGCTTTATGCTAATCAAATACTACTTCCTTCGTGTTTTGCAGCTTTTCAATGGTCTACTGCTTAGGCTTAAAATAAAAGTCACTTTCTAACATCAATCAGAGTTATGTCAGAAAAAGGTAATTATGGGAATGAAACCATGAGAATGAAATCCTCAGTAGGTCTTATTTTAAATTAGCAGACTATATTAAATCCCCAACCTGAACTTTCAATATTGATAAATTACAAGGTACTTAATTGCTTTGAAAAATTATTGGTTTCTTTAAAGCAGTAGATATTATCTTTTTAAGGAACATGAAAACTATAGATCTTCTCCCTAGAAAAATGTGAACTGTATGCAGGTTTCAAATGATTTTGGTGGTTGGTTCAGAAATCCCAGGGATAGAGCGTGGAGAGGAATTTCTATATCTGAGGCACATTCTTGTACCACTTGATGTGGGATTCTGATTTTTTTTGTAATATTTCTGGTAAGATCACTCTAGGCAAGGCACAGAGCATGGGGCAGGATGGGCTCACCTGCATCCAGAGTTCCTGGAAATGGAGCATCACTTGCTTTTCACATTTAACTTTCAAACACTTCACATTGTTAACAAGAAAAATGCATGTACCTCTCCACGCCACTCAGCTTCCACTTGTGTTTCCGGGACATCAGTAATCCCCCACCCCAAGCTGCCTGAAAAAAAAAATCACATAAGGAGAAAGGTAGCAGTTTATCATGGCCTAGATCCCCATAGTTTGGTGTTTTGTAGACTTATGAGAATATCATATCGTGAAAATTATCTGTTTGAGCTCAAGCACCTTAAGGGAGTTGGCCACCTTCTTCTGATACCAGATCTCCAAAGTTCAAGGTGGAGAACCACTGTTAGGTCTCAGACTCTATCCCATATCTATACGGGTTCGAGGAGTCAGTCTGAATGAGATGGGAACAGATTTTCCTCCCACCCCACCACTACCACTCTTAGTCCTCAATGGACTCATTCTCAGAATGAGACATCCTATGGTTTCCAAATCCAAAGCCTAAATGACCCAAGTCAGTGCTGCTCAAAGTGTTGGCTGAAACAGCAGAGATCTTGCACCAGATGCATATCAGCTTATGGCTTCCTTCATTGAGAAAGTCTTGCAAAAAAGATTGAAAAAATCAGCTGAACCAAGCACTGTACTGTGTTGACAGTGGGTTTTGATTAGTAATCATTTGGCATAAATGTCTTATTTCATCATGGATCATTAGCAAACAATTTACAAAAGGGAGCTGATTGTCAAGCCACACCTTGAGTAATATACTGATTTTAAATACCTTCAATTCACATTTCTAAAAATTGGCATTTTTTTTTCATTTGAAAATGATGATAGACCTCTGTTGTTTTGCAGTCTGACTAAGCCGAGAATCAAAACACCTCAAATATAATTTAGCTGCTTAGTTGACCAATCTAAAATATTAGGAATGTGGTAATCTGCATTTCCTAGTAAGATGCTGAGTCTGCTTCTCCCTTCAAATATATGTCAATTTGAACTTGAGTTTTCATCTTTTGGATTTCTGCTATAAATGTAAATCCTTTTTACCCTGTTGATTGTTCTTATAAGGAAGGAACGGTGGAACTGTGTGTAGACTACATTGTTCCAAGGCTATTATGGCCTAATGAACTGAAAAGAGCTCAGGCCAAGTACTGCTCATAGAAATAAGAATATTTTCATTTTAGGAACCTAAACACATAACCACCCTCAGGCGACTTCCAGAAAATATGAATACCATGCAAGTTGTGTGTTAATTTGTCCCTGAAATTTTTAAAAGTTCAAATACTACTATTCTTGAAAATAAGGGGCTAAAGTTAAAAAAGAGAGAGAGAGAAAACAAATTACGTTCCACGAACCCCCAGATGAAAAATGTGCAGGGATGTTTTAATGGCCAGTCCCTAAGGGATACTTACATCCACATGCATCCAGATCTTATACTTTTTACAAATGTCAGCAACAGCCAAGAGAGGGTCAAATGCTCCATACACAGTGGTTCCAGCTGTGGCACTCACAAGGAAAGGAACAAATCCCTATACAAAGGAAAATGCCCAAATAATGTAACAGAGGTTCAAAGTTTCTTTTGAAAAGTTGATTAAAAACAAAGGAAATCTTCGCCCTACTACACACATCTATATCTTTGAAATCGTCAGAAGGGTTATAAATACTCTGGATTCTGGTACAAATCAGTGTTCACTCCTGAGAATCAGAGTTCCCCATTCTTTTCAGTCTGACAGTTGCCTCATGATGGTAGACATTGAGTCCTCAGAGAAGGCTATACTGTTCCAGTCTACAAGCCATTTATATATCCCAGGTACATTTTCTGACCCTTTTAAGCTCCCTTTGCTCATTTTTTAGTCTTTCTTCTTTACAGCAGGGTCTCTGAACTGAATTCATCCCCTAGTGTGAGAAGGCAGGAAAAGCAAGAGAGGAAACTCTGGTCAGACCCACCACTCCTATGTGGAAATGCTCTGGTCATTTATTTGGAGTCTTAGATGGGAGGGTTTGCATGGGCTAAACAATAAGCCAGGAGTTTTTTTCAGCTAAGTGGTCCTCAGTCTGTCTAGCCATGGCTAAGTGAAAACTGACTAAGATAACAAGTTGTGGCTACAAGAAAGCAGAAGAACATCACAACAGGACCTGTCTTGTCCTTTCCAGAGTGACTGCTCTGTCGGTTTACAGAGCATGATGTGACAGAGTCAGTCTTTAGGTGGCAGCAAAGGTTTAATCTTGTGGTTTATGTTACTAGAGGTAGTTCTGAAAAAGACCAAGGTTGTAGCAGGAAAGACATATGAAAATAAATAATTATTCCTGAGCTCATCATAATAAAATGCATATGTGTATTTCTAAACCAGGAACTGAAGATTATACCTTCCAAAAGCTAAACAGAGAATCCTCAAAGCAAACTCTCTGACTGGCTAACCATCCAGGGAGGTAAATAACTTTCCAGAGCTTTGTAGGGATCTTTGGCAGGTCTTTGGAACTTGTTACTTCTAAGATGAGTTCTAAATTGCTGCTTGTAAAATAAGATGTGTAAAGAACCAATCATATCACCAGGAAAAATTGCCCCTTTTTTAAAGAACCCTGCAACAGTAACTCACATGCTTCAGAAGACTTCCGAGGTTTCCTACTTGTGAAAATGAGTTTCCAAACGTGTGTCTGCTTAATTCCAACCCTCAGCACAGAGGAAGGCAAACAGTTTGGAAACTCTTATGATACCTCTGTATAAATTATGCATTCAGCAACTTAAGCTTTTTTAAACAGAGCCTATACAAAACTCAGAGAAATAAATAATGATTGAATGCAGAATTCCATATTCTCATTAAAGCCGGGAAAGTGAGGTATGGGTCTGTTTTCAAAGTAAAACTTAATGAGCTTTCCTCGGGTTAGAAATACAGATTTGGATCCTCACTACAAAAACTTACTTTCTGTTTGGCCTCAAGGATTCTTCTTTCGAGATCAGATGGGATCATTTTTCCCCTGAATGAAAAAATAAGTATGTTAAAGGTTTGTGTGGAATAATTTACTTTATTGTATTTACAGTGTAAGAGGACATATGAGGGTAGAATCTAACCCTATACCGCGGATAATAATGCTTAGTTAAAACAACTCCTCAACTACTCGGGAGGTAGAAATGAGGAGGATCTTTATTCAAGGCCAGCCTGGGCTAAAAAATTAGTGAGACTCCATCTGAATAAATAAGCTGGGAGATTCATGCCTGTAATCCTAGCTACATGGGAGGCTTAGGATTGTGGTCTAAGGTTAGCCTTAATCAGAGGAGCTAATTTCTACAAGTTAATGTGGCTGAATTTGTGAAGTTACTTAATGTCCTGTGTCAAATATCACTGGAAAATCATAACATTTATAAAGTTAGGAGGATTAGATGCATTAACAAATTAACAAATGCAAAATTATTTTTAAAAGACTTAGCACATGATAAGTCTTGAGCAAAAATGCCAGACCCCTCAGAAAAATAACTAAAGCAAAAAGGACTGGAAGCATGGCTCAAGTAGTAGAGTACTGCCTAGTAAACATGAGGCCCTGAGTTCAAATCCCAATACTGCCAAACATACATACGCACATGCACAAACACAGAAGGGGGCAGAGAGATAGAAACAGAGAAAGAGATACACACAGAGGGACACAGAGAGAGAGAGACAGAGAGAGAGAGAGAGAGAGAATCCACTCCAAACATCCTAATGAAAATATTAAGTACAAACTAATTATATTGCAAGTGCTAAAAGCATAAAGCAGCCTGTGGACTCAAATTTCAAACAGTTGGATAGAAAGGCATTAGAGGAAGAAGCACCACTTCATTCCAAAAACATTTCTTTCCTAAAATAAAAGCACAGATACTACTTTGTTTATTGTTAAGATAATCAGAGGAGCTAATTTCTACAACAAGCTAATGTGGCTGAATGTGTGAAGTTACTTAAAGTCCTGTGTCAAATTTCACTGGAAAATAATAATATTCATAAAGCTAGGAGGATTAGATGTATTAATAAATTATCAAATACAAAATGCACATGATAAGCATGCAATAAGTGTTAGCTTTAATTATTGAGATTGCCTTTATGCAGTGTGACATTCCTATTTCAAGACTTTGAGGAAAAAAAAGACAGAGAGTAGTTACAAGGTACTGTAGACAACATGACACTCAAAGACAGCTAAACTTTTCATATTATTATCTAGTTTTCTTAAATACAGTTTAGAAAAAGAAAGAGAAGTGGTTATCACAATGAATCATTAGTGATGCTACTGGCATTGGTGAGCAGTGAGTGGGATTTTGGTATTTGTCGCTAGCTCAACTCAGATACCGTGAGCATTGGGCTACATCATCACATCTTCTGGTGTTATCTTGTCTAAGCTTTTACATATTGAAATATGTTATTTCAATATAATATGATAAGTTACAACTCTAACTTTTCTTCATTCTTCAAGATAATTTGTGGAGCTGGGGGGTGTGGCTCAAGTGATAGAGTACCTACTTTGCAATCCCAAGACCATGCACTCAACCCCTAGTACCACCAAAGTAATAATAATAATAATAATAATAATAGTGATGATGATAATGATAATAACAATTTGGCCATTAATTTGTGAGTAGGTAAGCTATATATTCTACCATTTTCATTTCAGACTAATAAATGCAGTGTGACAAAATAACTAGAATAGAAAGTAGACATAAAGCCTTAAAGCACCAAGAACCACTGATTTAGGTGAGGCTTTTTCTAAGGGAAAACAATTCACATGCAATTGCCTGGGCTACAGTAATGGACAAGTCACTAGTGATTAGTTTGTCAGGCTGGAATGAACAAAGGGAATTACAGGTACACTTGGGAGTGATGGATGCAGACTCAGATTCACAGCAGCCTATCTTTGGGCAACTCCTCTGTGATGAGGAGAAGAAAGGAGGATGATGGGGCTCAGAAAGGAGCCTTGGAGAGCACCTTATTTCCAGGATTTTTCCTGCCTTTCACAGTTTTGCTTGAGGATATACTGTAATGCAGTGAGGTTCAACCTCTTCTAGATCAGGTGGTGGTCCAGCTCTGCTATCAACAATATGTTCAAATTTCAGAGGAAATTTGGGTAGTCTATCTTTTATGGAAAATTTAGAGCACATTAAAATTTAGAGCACACAATATTTTTGTAGGTAGACATCGAAACTGAGTAGAGAATTCATAAAAATCATTTAGCAGATCTCTAATTTTACCTAATTAATCACAAGTTGGGAAAATTTGGGTAGACTACCTTGACAATCACTATTTATTCATCAAATCACATCAGAGATTAAGGCATGTGAGAATTGGAAAAGGGCTCAAGACTTGCTTCTAGTCTAACCTCATTTTTCAAAACAGGAGGCAGGCTGAGAGATGAAATGACTGCCCATGTCAAGTTACTGCTGGTAGAAGGGAGCTTGTAACTAGAAATAAAACCCCAGGCTTCCAGAACAACTTAAAAGGGACTAAACAATTATCACACCTATTCAAAAAGGTTGTTGGATTCTTTGAGGATAATATCTGACTTTCATTATTTGGAGGTGTTATGCAAGCCTGCCTGGAAAGCAGCAATGAACACAGCTTTATTTCCATATCAATAAGTTTGGGGCAAGTAGAGGGCTTATCAAATAATCAACAGAGTGTTCTTTTGCATGGAAGTGGGAAGAGATGGGTGTGGCTCTAGTCTCTCATGGTACTCTGCCTTTCCAGCCCACATGTGTTTTGTCTACTGAGGAATGCAGAGCCTGGCATACAGCAGGTGATAGATTAACACTTCATGGAGGTAAGTGACTGAAGTAAAAGTTTAACCCAAAGATATTAATATGTTTACTTTACCTTAATATCCAGCCAGAGAGTATGGGAGTCTCTGGGGATAAAAACTCATCTTTTGATTTTAGAATTGGTCAAATTACCTTAGAACACTAATGCTTAAAATTTAGTGTGCCTAAGAATCACCCTAAGCTTTGTTTAAAATGCAAATTCTTTGGCCACATTCTCAGGGATTTGGATTCAGTAGGTTAGTATACAGTTGAGGAGTTAGCTCATTCCACATATTACATTGCACTTACTATGTACCAACATTGTTTTAGGATCTGATGTACCAGGGTAGACAGAACAGCTTTTACTGTCCATGGTTTCTTAACAACAGAGACAAAGAAAAAAAGAAAACCTAATACATAGACAAACATACATAAGGATGTGCACTTTTAAAAAGCACCCAGGTGATTCAGATGCAGGTGGACACAAGTCCACATGTTGAGAAACACTGCTTTAGAAATGGACATCTGGCCTGGATGGTGTTTAAACAACTGTGTAACATGCTTGCTAAGTGCTTTTCACATGACCCATGGTTTGGAGCCATTATGGTTGTACAGCAATGAGCAGAAGGAGCTTCAGAAGTAGCACTGTGTATTCCTGGCTACCCATAAGCTGTAGGGTGAGAAGACATTGGGTGATAACCAGAAGGCTTCTGTGGGGGTTAGAAGATGTTTGGCCATACTAGCTTCTCTGTACAAGCACCTCTTGGTACATGAGAGGCTGTGGATACAGCTGTTGCATCCTTGATATCTGGTTTAATAGCATATCTCTAGCACAAATATATGTCTTTTGTATAAAAGACATATAAAGCATTTATACATTCTGCTTTAAGCCCACAAGCAAGTAGCCACTAGTCCTTTACAACACTGCTCTGACTTAGGAAGGGTCTGTCACCCAAGTGAAGGTTGCTGAATCAGACAGTGGCTTTGGTGTGTAGTCATTTTGCACTGAGATTCTTGGTCAGCAGTAGCTTTTAAAAAGTCATATGATGCTGTAGGATCAGATAACTCCATAAATTGCCTTGGCAAAATCACAAGTAGCATGCCAGGTAGAACTACCAGTGGGGGAAAAAGATGTAGATCACACTATGGGCTGTAGGCTTAGAGTCATGACTGCTTTTCCCATGGCTCTAAAGTGAGGGGGGCACTAACTTACCATGTGGAGCATGATACTAGAGTGTATGGCTCTAGGCAGGCTTCCAAATGGTCAATTAGAAGGTGCTTGACTCATTGGTTGACCTTGCTCATCAGTACAGCTGAAACTGTTCTACTAGCCTTTCCTAAGGTAGTGAGGTTTGGCTCTATTCATAGACACGTATGCATAAAGAAGAAAGGCTATATGAATATTTCCTGTTAGTAATCAACCTTACCATCACTGTTAATAATGGTTATACTGTTAATAGCAACACCACCAACAGTGATAATGAATAAGCAGTTTTAGAAGCATTCACCACACTGTGCCTTACTATTTGATCCCTGCTCCTCCTGCCAACTCTACTAGGCAATTATCATTGCACCCACTTTATAGATAAGGAAACTGAGGCTCAGAAAGGCAATTGACTGTGGCTAAAAGATTGGAATATGGGGATGGAGTAACTGGGTACCTGCCCTAAATTTAATTCTAACTGGCTAAACTAGAAGAATGAAGTTCTTCCTTTTACTCATTTACAAATGGTAACAGTACTTGCCTTATGAGGTTTCTGTGAGGACTAAATGGGGTAGCAAGTATAAACACTATAAAACATTAAGTATAAAATTCTGCCTAGCATATAGTAACCTCTCAATATATGCTAGATAATCTCTTTATTATAGTAGTACTAGCCTTATGTATAAAACTAACATGAAATGTCACAAAGCCAATAGGAGGCAGATTTCAAACCTAGAGCTGCCTGATGTCAAAACTCAGATTAGCATTGAACAACTGCTTTGACTTAAGAAAAATTTCAGGTTGAGTTCTAAACTGCAGTGTTGTACGCAAACTTTTCCATATGGTTTTCTGAAAGTCTCCTTAATTCTTTGACCCTAATTCTTACTGCTTCAGCACTGGACAGTAAAATAAGAGAAACATTCAGCCTCGTCCAAAAACATACTGCTTTATTATCTTTTGGTGATGTTGTTCTTTCTAGGATAGTACACAAGTGCTCTGGGAGTAACAGAAACTTGA